AGAGAGAGAGAGAGAGAGAGAGAGAGAGAGAGAGAGCGAACGTGTTACCTGACCAACCGTGTAATGCCGAACGATAGTGCCCTTTGCATATTCGCCACCCGCTTCGTGTGGTCTCGGTTCTTTCAAGTGATAAGCGTCGCCACAGACTCCGCATTGGCCCTTGTTCTCCACCCATTGCACTGCAACCGGCAATTACATATCGTATACGTATAAGCGACGTACGCGATAGCCTACGTACATCGAGGCGTTACCACTACACGTTTATTAATATTTTGTATGAAATTCGAGTGAAAAGTCGATCTTGACGGCTCCGCGAAAAGCCGAGCTGACCGGTTTTTACACCAAGCCCTTGAATCTCTCTCCGTTAAACGTATATATTGCGTAACGCGACATAAATTTCAAGCTGTATCGTGCGTTCATCGTCCACCTATTGCGCAACGCGCGTTCGAGCTTCTCTCGTATTCGTTCATATTACGTTTCACTTACTATCGAGATATCGAGATGACGGACGTTTGTCATCGAGGTAATCGTATTACGAAACAACGAACCTGCGTATCCGCCACAGAAGAGTTCGTTGTCGTTGTAATTTACAGGATTTGGATATCCGAAACGCCACATACTGTTTCGTGCAGGTGGGTCCATCAAACGTCCATGACCGTGCACGTGAACGCAATCAGGAACCTTGATGAAAAAAACCATCACTTTGGACAACTAGAAATATTTCGGTTTCACTGCAAACAGAATCGGCGATGCAAAAACACGTTGAAACGTCATTTACAATTGCAATTTCACAATTACACAATTCTTAGCAGAGCACGAAGCGAAGTTTAGTTATTTTTACGATATCGAAGAATCTCGTACGTCTGAACGGAAAAGATCTCGCGATTGAATTAACGTAATTAATCAATCAATCATCGCAGTCTCGTCGGAACAAACACGTGGAACGCGTTGGTATCTCTCGATCAAACTTTGTAAAATTCAAACGAAACAACCACAACATCGTCGCACGTGTCCAAACTATATTTTATATTTACCTGAAGAAAGAAACAGGCTATTAGAAATATTATATCCCGACATCGATACCTGCTGATCATGACCACCTAAAATCAGATTTTCGAATGATAAAATACAAGAAAATTCAGAGCTTTCGTTCTCTCCCTCTTCCTCTCTCTGTCAGTCTCTCCCTCGTCTGTCTGTACATTTCTGACAAAAGACGCAGAGAAGAAATTATTCTACACAGAGAGACAAATGTAATTTCGTTTTCGAGAAAATCATACCTTTATAGTAACGACGAGAATGAATGGTGGCAATCGAACGATAATGCGAACAATAACGACGGTAATAAATATATCAACGAATCAAACGGAGCGTCCTTGAAACTGTGCGTGGCACTGTACACAGGGTACGATGAACTTGCGAAGGTGCGGAGATTTCAACTGTTGTGAAATTAGAAAAAAAAAAAAAAAAAAAAAAAAAATCTATTTGCATATTTAACCAACGACACGTCGACGACAAATCCGCTTTACGAAATTACGATAGAATTATTTACATCTCATTTTTATTCACGCTGGAATAGCAAATGGCATCGGAGCGATGGTCGAGTGGCGTCACGCGAATATATAAACCAAATGAAAAAAAATAACGAATCGAATTCGTTAGTGGAAATGAAAGCTTTCGCGAGAATATAAATATACGCAAGTAGGTACACGTATGCACACGTACGCGTGTATGTATACACAGCGAATATCGATCAGGCTGAGTCGAAACCGAATCGAAACGATCGTCCATATTTTTGCGTAAGAAAGTATCTCATCAGCTTGCGAAATCGATAGAAAAGTACAAGTGCGTAACTAAATAGCTACGTAACCTTTTTCTCGTAACTATACGTGTGTAGACATCGTATATGTATATATACAATAAAAAGTAGACGTATGATTTGTATTATTTACATTTCGCATAATACGATGCGACGTAGCGATGTATTTTAAAACACAC